CCCCCCCCCTTCCCTGACTGATCTAGGGATACTGTGGATCGGGTTCTATGCTCCTTACCTATCTCTTGGCCTCTTTTATCAGTTAAAAAGCGAAGCGGAGGTGTCAATCGAGAAGAACTAGTCTAGCATGCTTTGGTTCTTCGAAAAACTGTAACCATGACTGCCCTACATTTTAGAATATTCGAAAAATTAGTCCGGGTTTCAGGAAAGTACAGTTTGTTCGGTTACATTAAGTCAGGCCATGTACTAGCTACAATGTTGCAACACTGTCCGATTTTTAATAGGCCATCTGGCCTTCAGTCGAATACCAGTATGCCCCTCCGATTATGAATCAAGGGTAGGGGCTCCCCGCTTTCTCCTGACCCAGTGTACCTGAGCACGTATACTTTTATTACCTGGTATTAAACATTTTGAAGAGTGGGCTGTAGTGGTTTGGCAAGCACTTTATCCCTTCAAACTTTCAAGTAGTACATAGTCATCGACGTGCTATAAGAAATCTGAAAAGAGCGTAGAGTGGTTCCCACTATCTGCGCCTCTGTTGGATTGCAGGAATAGAGTGGAAGAGAGGGAGTGTCTGATGAATAGGAGGATTGAGAGAATCTTGATTGCAACCACTACTTAGGCTCAATAGAAATTCTGATTGTTCTTCATTACAGGTCATTATCGGAACGTTCACTGGCCGTGAAGCGAACGCTCCTATCGGGACTTCGGATAAAGAAGCAGCACTCAACTGGGGATATTCATCAGCGAGTCACAAGTACGCCCGGTAGGATCTGATAAGCGAGGTTGAATACAATGTAGCCCCACATCATTGCGCGTGTGTTGCGGTGTATGTGGACGCTCATAGAATGTCGTGCTGGAGAGATGCTGTACAGCCCCAGACGGTCCGCTGACCAAATGGGCTCTCCTGAATACTCCTACCTCGCTAATCGCCGGCTTCTCCCTTTTATTCTTTTAGCGTTTTGATTTTTCGGCTGCGCACACATCGATTAGGCGATTTGGGTTTTTAGGAAGCCTTCGTTCGAGTGGCAGCACGATGAGTTGCACTTCCGAGGACTCCCTCCATCATCATCACAAGTCCTACGCCAGCACCGAGGTGAGTCCACCGCTTTCCCACTCCACTCTGACTGTGCTCTGCATGAGTGTTGTCGTTGCTCTTTTGAGAGGCCTATTTACTTGGACGCCTCGTCACCTCGTTGTCACAGTTCCCTGAGAGGGTGGAGAGGGGAAGGAGTCGACATTGGGTGTGCGAAAATCTGAGTGCTAGGGGGGTTGTGAGCGTATTGGACGCGCAATTTGCTTTCTTCTCTTCTTTATCCGAGCAGCTCGAATTTCCAGCGGAAATGATACTCGCAGCCGCTGCGACCACTGCCCTTCGCCCATTCAGCTTTAGTTCATTTAGGAGCGCATACTACCAACGAGAGAGAGATTTACCCTGCAAAGTTCTAACTTACCTTCTCCCACTCTCCATCTCCACTCCTCCTCCGCTCCCTGTTGACCGCCTCATCGATGAGCTCTGCTCGGGTGCACCTCAGCAGAGCGGCAGGTGGTTGAGGAGGCAGAGAGTGCGCTCTGCGCCCGCCGACGTTTGTATTACACAGCATGGACGCAATGCTACTCGAGAGACTCTCAACGAGTGTTTGCGTTGCATTCGCTGATCTCTCGAGCGGCAGGGGTAATAGGCGCAGTTTGGATGTCCTTCGCACAGTGGGGGATTTGTTACAGATCCCGAAACGATGGGCATCAGAAGTGCTCCTGGAACCAATCTGCAAAATTTTCTTCAGATTCTGCCATTTTGCAATTTTTCAGACGAGAATTCATTAGTTACTCAAGAATATTGTACCCACCTTTCTTGAGTACTACAACACAGCAGCTCTTCCACATTGCAACTTCTGATGGCGCATTAGAAGTGGTCATGAACACACTGGGGACAATGTCCTTACTAGGGCTGACCATGATATACTTGATTTTGATATTCATTGGTGCATGCTGAGTGTCAGCAAAATAAGGGCCGTAGCTAATCAGGCTAAAAGTTAGCCCGCACATGGGGAGGGCACATAGCATACATCTACTGGGTAGAAGTTGCACCAAGAAAGTCGCCACTATTCGGTCATCGTCATCGTTATAAGAATAGTTAACAAAACATGAAGTCGACTCAGAGACACAGTTTTTCAGTCATATATTGCATTAAATCCCGAGAATATAAATGGCAAGTTTAATTCAAAGGGAAAAAATAGGTTTATTTTTGGGGAAGGGCGGTCAAAGTACGAGAAATAGGCGCTGACCCGAACAAAGAAGAAAATTCACCACGGCAGCTTCAGCTTTATCTCAGTCAAACAAACAGAGCATCACTTAATTCCCTGAGAAGTACTTTCCCGAACCTCTTGATCAGTAGGGGATTCAATGGCCCCCCACGCCACCCGATCTGATCTCTTGCTTTCTATTAGGACATCTCAAATTGAAGGTTTTTGAGATTTGTCCTACAACGGTAAGGATTTGAAAGTTGGGATTGAACAAGGAGTTCGTGCGATA